ATTTATATATAAAATTTATATATAAATTTAAATATAAAGTAATTTATTTCAAATTATTAAAATTAAGTTTAATATGCGTATGGTTATTGACATATATGGTAATTGACATTTTGATTTGATTATAACGGTTAATATGTTAATATATATTGTCAAATTGAAATTTAAATTAGGTAATTAAATGATGGAGGACCGCAGCTGGATAGATCGTCGTTTAGACGATCGTGGTTTTGTTACTAATGAATATAAAGAAGGGGTACAATTTTTTTTGAGATTTGCATTTTCTAGACCCCAAGCAAAATCAGAAATCAAGTGTCCTTGTTCAAAATGTAGATGTAGAAAATGGGGAAACCCTGAGGTTGTTTCCATGCATTTGTGTACACATGGATTTATGAACAACTATTATATATGGTATGTTCATGGAGAGACATCCAACAATCCAGCAATAAACTTTATAGGGGAATCTTCTAACTCAGGGTTTGTTAGAAATGAGTCGGATGCAATGTATCATGAAATGTTAGTTGATGCAATGGGTTTGCAAGGTGAATATAATGAGGAGCCAATGGTTGAGGAGCCAAATCATAAGGCAAGAAAATTTTATGAACTTCTGCATGCTGCAGAAGTTTATATAAGTAATGGGGAACAGAATGTGACTGTTCTTTCATGGATAGCTGAAATGTTAAACATGAAGACTCTTTATAATATGAGTGCTGCTAATTGGGAGATGGCATTAACATTGAGTCGAAAATTGTTAAGTGTTGAAGATCAAGAGAAGGTGCCGAAAGATTTTTATAGTGCTAAAAAATTGATAAATGTGCTCGGACTTGGGTACAAGAAAATTGATGTTTGCATCAATGATTGTTTCTTGTACTATGGTGAGCAAAACAAGAATTTAAATGCTTGTCCGGTGTGTGGAGAATCTCGTTATGAACTGAGGAACATGGCTGCAGTGAGGCAGAAAGCAATTCTGAGAAAATATTTGTGGTATCTTCCAATTACCCCTAGATTGCAGCGGTTATACATGTCTAAGAAAACGGCAGAACATATGACATGGCATTTGAAATGTAGTGATGATTCTGATGAAGTTATTCACCCTGCAAGTAGTCAAGCATGGAAGCACTTTGAGAAAACTTACCCAACATTTGCTGAAGAACCTAGAAATGTTAGACTTGGGTTGTGCACTGATGGTTTCAATCCATTTGGCCTTTCAGGATCAGCTTACTCCTGTTGGCCTGTTTTCCTTACAGTCTATAACCTTCCACCTGAATTGTGCATGAATTCGGAGCATATATTTTTGTCCATGATAATTGCTGGACCTAAAAGTCCAGGGAAAAATATTGATGTGCTGCTTAGGCCATTGATTGATGAACTTAATGAATTATGGACAAATGGGGTTGAAACTTATGACAGCTTTAGAAAACAGAATTTTATCATGAAAGCTGCACTGCTATGGACTATAAGTGATTTTCCAGGATATGGCATGTTGTCTGGATGGAGCACACATGGGAGGTTGTCATGTCCTTATTGCATGGAGAATACTAAGGCTTTTCAACTTCAATTTGGGAGGAAAATTTCATTTTTTGATTGTCATCGTCAGTATCTACCTCCAACACATCCGTTTCGTAGAGACAAAAAAAATTTCTACGTAAACAGAATTGAAAGAAGCCCACCCCCCCCAAGACTAGATGGTCATTTAATGGAGGAGCGGGTAAACCAGTTGCCAGAAATTATCTTTGGCCAGTCACTTCGCAAACAATCAATCCCGGGATTTGGTGTTTCCCATAATTGGGTGAAACGTAGTATATTTTGAGAACTGCCATATTGGAAGGATTTATTAATTCGTCATAATCTTGATGTTATGCATTGTGAAAAAAATTTCTTTGATAATATTAAGAATACTGTTATGGATGACAAGGGTTGTACGAAGGATAATACAAATGCTAGAATGGATTTGCAATTGTATTGCAATAGACCTGAATTGGAATTGATCCCTCAACATGATGGAACGGCTTTAAAACCCAATGCTACATATGTTCTTACTCGAGAGCAACGAGCTCTTGTTTGTCAGTGGTTGAAGGATTTGAGATTCCCAGATGGGTACACATCCAACATAGCACGCTGTGTGAAAATGATTGATTTTCGATTGTCTGGAATGAAAAGTCATGATTGTCATGTATTTATGCAGCGTCTCTTGCCAATTGCTTTTCGTGATCATCTTATAGATGCAATTTGGGGTCCTTTAACTGATGTTAGCAACTTTTTTAGAGCTTTATGTGCTCCAACTATTCGAGTTAGTAACATGGAGACGTGGGAGGAAAAAATTGTAGAGACCATTTGTAAATTAGAGAAAGTATTTCCTCCAGCATTTTTTGATTCAATGGAGCATTTGGCAATTCATCTACCATATGAGGCAAAAGTTGGAGGACCTGTCCAATTTCGTTGGATGTACCCTTTTGAGAGGTATATTTAATCTCATTTATTTGTACCACAATAACCTTTTTTAGCATACTCAATAATATAATCTTATTAATTCATTTTGTTA